CCATCATGTCATAAAGAGATTATAATTTCACCCTTCCTCTCAGTACCTTATTTGTTCCAGTTCCTTAAGTGATCACTCAAGAGACTTTGCATGGAAGTCCTTCCTAATTAACAAGGAAATGTTCAGAGTTGTGACTTTCCTGTCTATGCTCATTGTGTTGATTAGATATGGGCACATGCTCATGTTTGTGTTCATTACTTCAAAACCATGATCTTGAATGTGCTGGATCATTCACAGTCTGTTGCAAAGGTGGGAAGCATACGGTCTGGTGGCTGGTTATAGCTTGTTATTCAATTTATTATGGACTGGACTCACTGTCTTTGCAGGGCTAGGGGGGGTGGTATTTCTCTAATGCTATAGCTCTGTTTATATATGGCCTACCAAACATATCTGAAAGTCCCCAGTAAAGAAGATGTTCAGCACATTGGTTTGATGCATAGGACATTGCAGTTCAGTATGTAGGTGTGGGAACCTCATCCAACTGCCATGGAAGTCAATGAGATTAATGTAATTTTGACTCAGATTCCGCAGACACAAATGTCTAGTATAGCAAAAATGAGGTCTTTCCACAGACTGCAGCTGGACATGGCAGCTTGCAATAGTCTATGTCTGCCTGGGCATTGGGAGTATAAATGATGTCTTCACTCTTAGGTCTTTTCCTGAAAACATAGACATAGTGAACCATGATAAAGGCACAACCACTGATGTCGCAAACTGGATGGATTAACACGCTGAAATCTGTCAGGCATTTGTTTTACTTGCCTTGCTTTGTTTTCTCTATCCCCACCATATCCAGAAATAATTTATAGTCATCTGCTGAAGGTTTCTAAAAAAATAGTCTGCCAATAGTTAGGGCAGTTGTCCCCTTCCTTCCAGTCCCACTATACTGCACACCAGCAAAGCTTTTTGCCCCTGTACAGAGGGGATAGTAATCAATTACCTTATAGTGAGGGATTTTTAGGAGTTGGAGCCACTGAGGAGTCATCATGAAAAGGGAGTCTTGTGGTGAAAGCTTTGAGCGTTTGCAACAGTGACTTGGCTCACTCTCTTGGTGTCAGTCAGAGGCACAGTGTAAGTGGAGAAATGAAGCTTTCCAGCATTCAGAAGGAATTTCTTAACGGTTAGTTTTTGAAAGATTGCCTGAGTCCCTTGTGGGTTTTTTGCTTCTGGATTTTGTAAGAATAGTATCAGAAAACTAATGAACCAAAGGGTAGATGGAGACATGTCTGTTACCATGGCCCTCCCTGGGGTGCAGACTGTAACTCTGCTCCTGTAACTATGGACTTCTCAGCTGGTCTCGATCACCCATTCAAAATACCATTTTGGTATTGGTCTCCTTTATAATTTGCCCCATGTTGGCATCATTTTATTGTGATGAAACGTTGTTGGAAGGAGAAACAAAACCCAGTGTGTTGAGGCCATGAGGCAAGGATTGCAGAATGTTGCCTTGGAGTGTAGCTGGTAAAAGGTTGTAAAACTGGCTTTTTCTGTAAAAGGGATCCACCGTTGGTTCCTTCAATTAGATCTCTCACAAAGAATGGACTAGTAGTATAAACAGGAACGGGATCCAAGTAACTGTCCTGCCTGCCTCCAAATCTGAGCTATCCGCATGGACTCTAAACCAGACTGTGTCAGGACCATGAAAATGCTGTACCAGGACCACAAAACCTGATTTGTTCCAATACAGTAATAAAAAGCACTGCTTAGCATGGATGAATTGAGATACATTCACAGAGCATGAATTTGTTTTCATCTTTTGAAAATTACAGAAAAGAATTCTGGGATAAACAAAATGAAAGGGGTTTTTTTTTCATTTTTATTCTGAGCCACATGCAGGAGAAGGCAGTGGAATTTTTTTACTCACAGGCACAGAAATAAAGTAGTGGCACAGTCCATATCGAGAGGCACAGCATAGATGCAAATACAATGCATGTGGTATATCTGTTCCCTTTTCAGAACAGAGTTTACAAGCAAAGCAATTCTGACCTTTTAAACCTCCCTTTTAAATCTAAGCTATTCATATCTGCAATGGCTTTTTACTGATATTCCGATAATTCCTATAATGTAAGACAGTGTACACAAAGAAGCATTTGCCTGCTGCAGAGGAATTGTATATCTCTAAGAAGCAGGTAAGCAGCAGATGCAGCATGGAGAGAGAGACATAAGTGGGATTTATATGTGTGTTAAATATTCAAGTAAATATAGATGATCAGTACCTGTTATTATTGTGCGACCTATTTCGTTTTGTCAAGTCACGAATAGGAATGATACAATAGTATACAGCTACCTTGCCAATGGACCTCAGCATCGCACAGACACTCACACAACTGCTATTTAGGGAGTCTGAGAATATAAACAGAGCATGAGTGAATCATATAGCCCCGTGTGCCCGTCCAGCAAGGTGGCGGGGCGGATAAATCCAAGGGCACTCTTCATACAGGGATGTGCGCACATTCGCATTCACATGTCAGTTAGATCCCGTGTGTATCTTCCCGGTGGGAATGCAGAGCAAGCTTAGGACTCGACTCCAGACTGTTGGTGAGCAATGAATGTCTCAAAATACTAAAAACAAACAAACAATTAAAAAAAAACCCCAAACCATACTCCTGTAGCTATATAAACTGTACTTTTTAAAGGCTCATTTTAATTAGTATGACTTTTTTCATGCTTGAGAAATTACTTACACAGTGAGCTATCTGTTTAGTTTGAATTGTTAAATGCAATAGTAGATACATGTATTTTATATACATACATATGTGTAGGAGAATTGTTTTGCAGAAAATATTTATGAGAAGAGCTCTGTCCTTTTTTAGACTGTAAGAATAGTACATGATGTACTACAAGGAAAATTACATTCTGAGTAAATATAATCACTTCTGGTTTATGGTATCTGGAGGCCTCTGTGACTGATTAGTCATATTCTGCATATTAAGTACTGAAGGGTCAAGTCTCAGAGTGCCTGAGCACCATATTTTCCATTGATTTTGTTCAGACTTGCGCGGACAGATCATTAGAGCTGTGTGAGTAACAACTTCTGTGATTCACTAGCAATTCTGAAAAATAAGAAACTCTCCAACTGGAAAGCACAGTGTTGTGGGGTTTTTTTTTTCTAGTGAATAAATAGACTGGGACAGCCAAAACATTTTGTCGAGCATCTTTAATAAAAGCAAAGGAAATTTGGAATCAAAGGGCTGCATTCAAAGGAGCATGTGGGATCAATGCGTAAAAGCTGGGAGGAGACACTGCTCATATATGTCTTTGGTCTCCTGAGAGATAAGAGCCTGAATTAAGTCCCTCCTCTAAGTAAGTTAAAGGATAGACTTAAACCCAGGATTTACAGGTAGTGAAGGAACATGGTAAGCAGTGGGCCAGAGAACATGGAGTATGTAGCTGTTTGAGTGGTTTTGGGAATAGTGTCTTTGCCTCCCTCGGACTTGCATATTAACCTAAAATGTTCCTTCTTGGAAATGCTAAACCTGTTTTTAATGTTTTCTCTTATTTTTTAATTTTCTTTTAACCAAAACTATTCCCATACTTTTTTTAGAGTATTTTTCCAAACTTTTTTCCAAAATGTAATGAAATTATTTACCCAGGTCTAGTCTAATGACTCTTCAGCTGGAGAGTGCAATTTTCCTTCCCCGCAGTAACAGTGCTGGAAGAGTTTCGTCTGTCTTGCTGTTCCAAAACAGGATGCTCATACTAACAGCTAATAAAGGCGCTGCTTCTGAAAATGAAGAGATTGAGATGAGAATGATTTTGTTTACCTCTCCCTCTCCCCTTCAAAGCCCCTTATGAATTATGTTTTATCAGTGAAATCACTCCTGGGTTGTGCAATTCACTAGGAAGACTAATAAAACTATTTTATAACTATAATCCATATGTGCTAGCAAACTTGAATAAATTTACATGTATGAAAAAGAGCAAATTTAGATAATTGAACAGTACAGAGCTTTGTGCTGAGACCGTACAATAGTATCTCTTTCACCAGATGTGTGTGACTAAGCAGGCTTTTATTATGGGTTGCAGAATGCTAACTCCAGTAAAGGACATTAAAAGTCTGGCCTCTAAAGACAGATGGAGGGATACAGTTATTTACCTAGTGCAAGAAATTGCAAAGTGGCGAATTACATGGCTAGTGGAAGCCGGACAGCAAAATCTGCTTTTCCAGGACTGCATTCTTCATAAAAGGAGGATGCTGTAGTAGTCTGTATAGTTTATTAGGAAAAGGATTCATGGAAAAGAAAAATTTCAAAATACATGCAGTGATGTATGAAAATCCTCACTATGCATACAGTTACTTGGTTGGATATGGTTATTCATGTGAACTCTTAACAAAGCAGGGAGATGCCAGCCTCTTGCTTTTATCAGCAGGTATCTAAGAATAGACTGCTGGAACTTGCATTCCTTCAATGTCAGAGCTTTAAGCTAGAAGACAGAAGAGAGATAGCGGGGGCATATATGGTTTTCCCAAGTTTTACTTTTTGTTTAGAAAAAAATTTCTAACCTGGGCTTAGAGTATTTTAGTCATTTTTCCCATGAGAAACTCTTGAATTACTAGCCATGAATAAATAGGTAGAAGATTTTAGATTTATTAAGCAAAATCACAAAACAGGGGCAGCTAAATTTAAGAATGCTGCTAAAATGTAAATTCATCATGTGCCATGTTCTTCACCTTTGCCCAGGTGGCACAGGTGATTGCTGGCCAGAAGAAATTAAATTTGCATGCTTCCTCTTCTAAGCTGAGTGGGTGCTCATAGTGTCAGCCAGTGGCTTTTCCTGGAGTGTTGCAATAAAGACGAGCAGTGAAATATTTTTGATCTGATATACTGTATACATCTTCATGAAATGCTTTTGATTCAGAGGAAGGGAAAATTACTTTTTGCAATCAGGAAGAGGCAGTTAATAAGTTAAAATCCAGCTCAGCCAGAGGCTCCTGATAAAATTATGGCACTATCTTTCCGTGGCAATGAATTCCTTCTCTTGTCTGTTGTGACGCATAGGTGAAAAACATGCAGCAGAGCCAGACGATGCAGAGCTGGTGAGCCTCAGCAAAAGGCTGGTGGAGAATGCGGTGCTGAAGGCCGTACAGCAATATTTAGAAGAAACACAAAACAAAACGAGACAGACTGATGGAAGCCCCGTGAAAACTGAAGAAGCAGCAAGTGGCAATAAGAATGAGAGTGACAATGATAACAGCAAGTGAGCACCATGCAAAAAGCCCGGGAGCAAATCTCCCACCAAGAATAACAACAAAAACATATCCCAGCTCCTCGCTGAAATTTGCTAAGTGGTGCTGGGTGACAGGCACTCTGCTTTGAGAATCTCTTATCAAAAGTTTGTTCTGAATCGAAGGACACTGTCTACCAGTTTAGTAAGTGCTAGCACTGCTGAAAATCTGTTGAATGCTGGGAGGGATGGACGGTGGAAAAAAAAACCAAGAACGGTGAAGCAGGCGGCTCCAGTCTTCACTGGCTCTTGATACCAAGAGTCCCTTCCTTGCTTTTGAAGAGAAAGTGAACCCTTTGCGTTTGCCTTTCGGATTGTCATGAATGGCCGCGGAAGAGGCCTTGCCATAAGTGGAAGCGATGCCCTCCGCCCGAGGGTTTGGCACTGCCGCAGGGCTGCTTACTCCGTGTGAGAGCACGTGCTGTTTCCTAGTCAACGGCGGTCAACCCCAAGCTAAAAATTACCACTACAGATATTCATCGCAGATACTATTACACAGTATGTAACATGGCAGGAGTTTCTCTTAAATGTGACACTGTACTGTTCTTTACTTTTTGGTAGCATTTGTTGATGTAAATTATTTTTTTGACAAAGTACCTTTTTATAAAAAATCAACATGGGCAAAAGGCTGAGCAATTAATACTGTCCAAACCAGATGCGATCTCTTTACCTCCATACATTAATGACTCTAAACGACATTAGCTGTTATAAAATATATTATATTGTTCTTTTCCTCCAGGAAAGAGCCATGAAGCAGACTTGGTAAAGGAAGCTTTGCACAGAGAAACACAGGCCCTGTTATCCAGACTGACGCAGCTAAAGGAGCTGTTATCCAGTTCTGATATCCGCAAGAAAATTAGCAAAGAACTGTTTGAAGACAGGCACAACTCTAGCAGTAAATGGAAAAGTTGTATTGACTCTGGATCTCCAAATGCATGATTGTAAATTGCCATGATGTCAAATCTCATCAGGTTGTTTCAAGACAAAAAAATACTTCTTCAAGAAATTTTCCTTTCTGATTCTTTTTTACTGAAAATATGAATGGGTGTAAATGGCTCATGAGGAATCATGCTGAAATACTTGCACAGGAGGAGTATATTTCATAATGATGAAGTGCAGCCACTCCTCAGCACTGCTTTGAAACATGCTTGAATGTGCAGGTATACGTCATGACTCCAAAGTGGAAAAATACCAGTTTCAAATAAATCTGAGCAAACACTGTGCCCTTCCTTTATCATTGCAAATAATTCAGATTTTTCTCATAGATCCTTTCCCTCACAATGATATACAGATATTGAAAAATGGATGCTTTTAAATACTTTAAAATGTATATTTGAAAAAAACTCTTTTAATTATCTGCCTTTTGGATATGTACTGGCATTTTGGGTTAGCACTGTCTGGGTTTTGGGATTTTTTTTAAACAGCACTTGAATACTTGTATAGATGCTGACATGTTGTTTCTGCTGATGTTTACACTAATGCAAGAATGTTTTAAATTTCAGAATGAAATTCAGGCTCCACTGCTCTCAGTGGGAGACTCTCATTGGCTTTAATGGAGTCAGGATGCTGCAATTAAGATTTCTCATGAAAATAATAATATTCCTTGGGATAATATTTGCCTTTTTACTTTTGTAGAACAGTGGTTTTGTCTTTTGTTTTTGATGTTTCCTCCATCTCTTACCTTCTGCTGCCTGAGGTGGGGTGTCAGTTTGCTCTCATTGTTCCCTCCACACATCTGCAGGATTCACTGAAGCTTCGGATGTACAACAATGCAGGAGTAGGGCCAATATTTGCATTTTTTATAAACACTGTTTAAAATTGCCTCTGATCATAAAAGCTATATAATATATGTTGTGATTGGTATCAGAATTGTGCTGTTAGAACAGCTGTGTGCGTATTCTTCATCAGTCTCAAGCACTGGTCATTTATCTCATGAGTCAGAGCTTATTTTTTTTTCTCATTTGATATATAGCAGTATATTCTGAAATGCGTCTCATACATGCCGTGTTCACAATAAAGTATTTTTTCCTTTGCACTCTATTTATGTTTTCACCTGTCTTCAAATGGACATTAATAAAATTAAGTACTTGCAAGTAACAGGATTGACAGAAACAGTGCTTGTATGAGTTACATGGTTGACTATGTGTATTGTGCCAACGTACTGATCTAGGGCTTGGGTGCCGAAATCATGTGAAGAAATTCATGCAGATAAGCTAGTCCCAAGTCATTATCATTTTAAATGGCAAAACTTTGCAGCTTGAGGGATTAATTTATATTCTGGGTAGTGTGGGTTTAGAAGGAGGTACTGGTACAACTTTCTAGAGGTCTATATCCAGTCTTCAACATCAAAAATTGAGTTTGAGTTTAATGAGTAGGCTCAAATTTGCTTAATAATGATAAAAATTGCATCTGCAGTCATCCCTGAGATTAAAAAAAAAAAAACAACCAGACTTTAAGAAGTGGATCTATACATCGCTGCACAGTGACTCTCTGAGCCCAGCTTGTTCCCTTATTCCATAGGCTGAAGAGAGAAGCTTCTCTCCTCCTTCTGAGGAGAGAGTTTTCTTGTCGTATCAAACATTTCTGAGTACTAGTTCATTCAGAGACAGCTATTCATGTAGTATCAAGCAATTTAAATCCAACTCGCAGATGACAACACAAAACCAGACAATCAGCTAGGAAAAAAGGAAAACGATTTATTTATTCTACCTGAATCTGAGGTCATCTCCTTTTCCTCCATACAAGTCGTTACAATGATTAAGTGCCTTTTTATATCATTCAGCTTGTAACAATCATTGTTTGCAAGTTTCAAATAAAACTGTAGAAATTAATCATTGAATTTATGTCCAGACGCTTTGATAGGTGACCTGGTTATTAGATACTCTGCTTATTCACAGTTCTTATAGATGGCATCAAGAATGGCAGATCTGAAAAAATAAAGTATAGGGGACTTAATGGCCTGAGCATAGGCAGCTGGTGTCATTTGAGATGCCCCAGAGTGGGCCTGGCATGGGTCTGGCAAACATGACATGAACCCTACAGGTGACATGGTGTTATTCTGGATCAGGAACTGTGGGCTGGAGGATACCCCAGAGCCTCTGAAAAGACACTAGATGCCTATGCTTAAGCAACTAAAACCCATCTTTGAGTTTCAGATGTCTTGACAAACAAAAGTGAACAGGGCTTTTGTTTCTAAGCCACTCATGTTCTTTTAAAATGCTAGCCATAGCCTTCATTTCTGGTTTCGACAAGACACCACTATTAATTTACTCAAAATTGAAAACAAAATAGGATAAAAAAAAAAAAAAATCCTGAATCTGGATTCATCTCTTATTACAACCCTTCTTCTTGCTTTCTCTATTTTTTTAATATTTTTTTTTTATTTTTCCCCAGTAGTAGTGAAGCCTGGCTGCAAAAGTAAAGCATAAATCTCATACATGGAGCTGTGAGATGATCCCTGAAGACTGCAGATGCATAGAGACTGAACCTAATATAGGTAGGTGTGAAGCTCTGAGCCTCACACACCAGAACAAATATGTTGCCTTCCTCACACTCATAAATCATTTTCAGGCAACAATTCTGGTTTTTCATTAAGCGCTTCTTTGGGGGAATGTCTCGAGGTAGTGATGCACAGGTGTTGTGGTTTAACCCCGGCTGGCAACTCAGCACCACGCAGTCACTTGCTCGCTCCCCTGACGGTGGGACGGGGGAGAAAATCGGAAGGGTAAAAGTGAGAAAGCTCGTGGGCTGAGATAAAGGCAGTTTAATAGGGAAAGCAAAAGCCGCGCACGCAAGCAAAGCAAAGCAAGGAATTCATTCACTGCTTCCCATGGGCAGGCGGGTGCTCAGCCACCTCCAGGAAAGCAGGGCTCCATCACACATAACGGTGACTTGGGAAGACAAACGCCATCACTCCGAATGTCCCCCCCTTCCTTCTTCTTCCCCCAGCTTATATACTGAGCATGATGTCATATGGTGTGGAATCGCCCTTTGGTCAGTTGGGGTCAGGTGTCCCGGCTGTGCCCCCTCCCAGCTTCTTGTGCCCCTGGCAGAGCTGAGAGCTGAGAAGTCCTTGGCCAGTCTAAGCACTACCCAGCAACAACTAAAACATCGGTGTGTTATCAACATTCTGCTGGTACTGAATCCAAAACACAGCACTATGCCAGCTCCTAGGAAGAAAATTAACTCTGTCCCAGCCAAAACCAGGACAACAGGTTATTCCAGGAAAGTGTTGAAAATTCAAAACAGATGGTGCAAGTTTGTCCATGTTTTGTTTTCAGTTCTACGTTCTAGCTTGCTCATACTCAAGAGCGTTTCTACACTGCTGATTGTAGAGATGTCTGTGACAGGTTTAAAAGCAGTAGCTCAGCTTCCAGAACTAGGCTAGCTGGAAGTCTTTGGACTGCTGCAACCCAATGAGAAACTGTTCCTGACATTTACACTTGGTCTAAGTGTAGAGCGCAGAAGTTGCAGAAGCCATACATTTGATACCTGAGCAGCCCTTGCCATAAATTGTCTGCACTGTTGAGCTGTGCATCAGAAGTGTTTAAGAGTTGACAGAATAATCAGAGAGATCAGTAAATCCATGTCAGTCCTGGCCAACAGACACCAACTCTCTGATTTAGGAAAAGAGACTCTTGTAGAAACTGATGTCTCCAAACATGGGTGAACATGGCATAAGACTGCTCAGTCTGGTAGCTAGGTAATAATGCAGCAGATGAATGTGCATCAAGATCTTTGTGAAAAGGAAATGAAAAAGTGTTTCTGTGTTGACTGGAGGTGATGTAAAGCTAAAAGGGGTTGGAGCTTAACGTCAGATTCAAACACTGTATCCAGACTACAGATATTGGGACCCACACGCAATAACGCCCTGTTTCTACTAATTGTCCTACTGAAGTAAGCATGATGCTTTGAGTGGTAAAATACTACTTCATGGCAAGGTTATGCAATCTGAAAGTTAGGATTTAAGAGGCTTCATGTTCTATATTTATAGAAGTTTCTGATTATAACTGCACACTTTTGTGTGTGCTGTTCTAGCCTAAAGGCCATGTGCGTGTGTCATAGATCAAAGAGTGTCAGCCATGCTTCATTCTGGTGACAAGAATGGTACCATTTCAGTTTTATGTCAGTCTAGACATGACTCATATTCTTGTTAGAAATCTGTTTTTATAAAGGTCTTGAGATCTATCCTACACATTTCTGTAGTCACCAAAGCAAGAAAAATAGAAGAGCAAAGCCACTGTGCTCAGCAGAGCTTTTGAGTTGAAATTCAGCAAAACCACACATTGACTTTTAAAAATTCAGTTATGTCCAAGAATATGCTCATGAAATTAAGTGTAAACTGAAACTTGTTCACTGCAGATGAAATACTACCTGCAGAGCCAGCTCCAGCCCCATGGAAGCCAGGAGGGAGTCTGGTTGCCTTGCATGGAGCCTGGTGGCTTGTCACCTGAGGCTTACTTCACTCTCCTCCTAGCCTGGGACTTGGTTTTGCATAATCTTTTTCAAAGCAGTCTTTTATCTGTGAATTCAGCTCAACTGTTAATGGTGTATCATCTTGGCCTGAGGAAGTGAGGGACTGAATCGGTACTGCAGCTTTCAGCTGTTTCCATCCCTTTGGAAGAGGGGGGAAGTTGTCGCTGAAATCCCAAAGAGGTTGATGCCTCTGCAGAGACACCTCAGGTCTTACTCGCACCGCCAGAGGTCGGAGGAGGGTGTGCGTGGCTGTTCGCTGAAGGCTTCATCTAGAGATGACTGCTGCCTGATCCTGAGGCAGCGGAGACAGCCCAAAACCACCGGACAAAAGCAGTTCCCGAGAGATGCACCCTCC